ACACACAAATGACGGAATGTCTTTATTTATAAATAATCATGTATTATACACAGTTAAAACTGCTTCTAATGAAAGTGTGTTTGATGTGCAGAGTGCGTTCATGATTTAGACAGAGGATATTATTTTAGTGCTCGGATGCGGCGATAATAAATTAGTTTTAAAAGTGGAATCGCGTCTCCATCTAGTGGTTAAAGTGAAAACTGCAGCAACCCGAAAATGTGATTTCCTCAGTTTTTTTTTTTTTTACATGATCACTTACATTATTTTCTGCATTCATGTTTTATGTGATCTGAGTAAATCAGTCGCTCTGACTATGATTTTAATTGTATATATATATATATATCATCAATATCAACACAACATCAATTGTGTGTATATATATACAGTGAGGAAAATAAATAGTGAGGAAAATAAGTATTTGAACACCCTGCTATTATGCAAGTTCATGGAGGGGTCTGAAATTGTCATCGTAGGTGATGTCCACTGTGAGAGACATAATCTAAATTTAAAAAAATCCAGAAATCACAATATATGATTTTTTTAACTATTTATTTGTATGATACAGCTGCAAATAAGTATTTGAACACCTGTCTATTAGCTAGATTTCTGACCCTCAAAGACGCCTTTAAAATGTCCACCTCCACTCCATTTATTATCCTAAATTAGATGCACCTGTTTGAGGTCGTTAGCTGCATAAAGACACCTGTCCACCCCATACAATCAGTAAGAATATGAAAAACCTTAATGATGATAATCGTTAAATGATTCAGTTTGACTCCCAAGACAAGACGATGCTCACCCGACTGGCCAATAGGAACGTTCCAATAGAAAAAAAAGAACGTGGCCCCGCCCATGACACAATTTTCACAGCTAAAGCAAAATCCTGACACGAGAGAAAAAATTGCATCGAGAGCAAAGAAAAGTGTTTTGAGAGAAACACTTTTTTTTTTTTTGAGAAAATGTTTTCACACTGATAGCAAAATATATATATTTGAGATTTATTTTGAGAAAAAGTTTTTTCCCTCAGAAATAATTTTTTTTTTTTTTAAATGTATATTTTTTTATGTTTTATGAGAAAATACTTTCTCTCAAAACTTTTTTTAGTCTCAAATATTATTTTTTGCTATTGGTATAAAAACTTTTTCTCTCAAATATTATTTTTTCTTTCATGAAATGCTTTTTTGCTATCAGTGTGATAACTTTTTCTCTCAAACTTTTTTTTTCTTCTCTCAGATCATTTATTTTCTCGCATGTAATAAAGACTCATTTCTAGCTCCATAGTAATGCACCAAATTGGTATGCCAACCGCCAATAAATTAGAAGAAGAAGAAGAATCAGTAAGAATCCAACTACTAACATGGCCAAGACCAAAGAGCTGTCCAAAGACACTAGAGACAAAATTGTACACCTCCAGAAGGCTGGAAAGGGCTACGGGGAAATTGCCAAGCAGCTTGGTGAAAAAAGGTCCACTGTTGGAGCAATCATTAGAAAATGGAAGAAGCTAAACATGACTGTCAATCTCCGTCGGACTGGGGCTCCGTGCAATATCTCACCTCGTGGGGTCTCAATGATCCTAAGAAAGGTGAGAAATCAGCCCAGAACTACACGGGAGGAGCTGGTCAATGACCTGAGAAGAGCTGGGACCACCGTTTCCAAGGTTACTGTTGGGTAATACACTAAGACGTCATGGTTTGAAATCATGCATGGCACGGAAGGTTCCCCTGCTTAAACCAGCACATGTCAAGGCCCGTCTTAAAGGGATACTCCACTTTTTTTGGAAATAGGCTCATTTTACAACTCCCCCAGAGTTAAACTGTTGAGTTTTACCGTTTTTGAATCCATTCAGCCGATCTCCGGTTCTGGCGGTACCACTTTTAGCATAGCTTAGCATACATCATTGAAGTGGACAAGACCATTAGCATTTCTAAAAAAAAAAAAATGACCAAAGAGTTTCAATATTTTTCCTATTTAAAACTTGACTCTTCTGTAGTTACATCGTGCACTAAGACCGACGGAAAATGTAAAGTTGCGATTTTCTAGGCTGATATGGCTAGGAACTATACTCTCATTCCTGCGTAATAATCAAGACACTTCACTGCCGTACCATGAGTGCAGCAGGCGTAATGATATGACAAATAGGCCACCTTCCGTCAACACAACGGAACTATTTTCAGGCGCTGCGTCATATCGTTACGCCTTTAAGTTTGCCAGTGACCATTTGGATGATCCAGAGGAGTCATGGGAGAAAGTCATGTGGTCAGATGAGACCAAAATACAACTTTTTGGTCATAATTCCACTCGCCGTGTTTGGAGGAAGAAGAATGATGAGTACCATCCCAAGAACACCGTCCCTACTGTGAAGCATGGGGGTGGTGGCATCATGCTTTGGGGGTGTTTTTCTGCACATGGGACAGGGCGACTGCACTGTATTAAGGAGAGGATGACCAGGGCCATGTATTGCGAGATTTTGGGGAACAAAAAATCCACTCCTTCCCTCAGTTAAGAGCATTGAAGATGGGTCGAGGCTGGGTCTTCCAACATGACCCGAAGCACACAGCCAGGATAACCAAGGAGTGGCTCTGTAAGAAGCATATCAAGATTCTGGCGTGGCCTAGCCAGTCTCCAGACCTAAACCCAATAGAGAATCTTTGGAGGGAGCTCAAACTCCGTGTTTCTCAGCGACAGCCCAGAAACCTGACTGATCTAGAGAAGATCTGTGTGGAGGAGTGGGCCAGAATCCCTCCTGCAGTGTGTGCAAACCTGGTGAACAACTACAGGACACGTTTGACCTCTGTAAATGCAAACAAAGGCTACTGTACCAAATATTAACATTGATTTTCTCAGGTGTTCAAATACTTATTTGCAGCTGTATCATACAAAAAAAATAGTTAAAAAATCATACATTGTGATTTCTGGATTTTTTTTTTTTTAGATGATGTCTCTCACAGTGGACATGCACCTACGATGACAATTTCAGACCCCTGCATGATTTCTAAGTGGGAGAACTTGCAAAATAGCAGGGTCTTCAAATACTTATTTTCCTCACTGTATATATACACCCTATATACATAAATCATTACTAAAATTTTATATATATAGGTCTACACACAATATATAGGCTACTATATATTCAAACTTTCTTTTTTGTTGTGGGTTATTTATATATACGTATGTGTGTGTGTATATATATATATATATATATATATATATATATATATATATATATATATATATATATATATATATATATATATATATATAATTACATAGCTGATTTTAGAACATTACTAAGATTGCTTACACCTAGTAATAATACTTGTTCATTTTACTCTTATTGCTTTTGACGTCGACGGACGCGCGCACGTGCGCGTGCACAGAGGGCGGAAATGCAGCGGATGTCGGTGATTTTGAAGCGGAGCTGCAGGATCTCAGTGAGTGAATTTACTAAGTAAAATACGTTTCTGCTTCACACTTTATATCCGTGTTTAATCGGCTACTATTCGGGATAATTCGCATTCATATGTTTGTCTCGCTCGTGTCTCGTGCACGCGCAGCTGATGGTGTGACGCGTTATTTGGGCAATAGACGGATAAAAGTGTTGATAATAATGTTGAAAAATTAATACACATAAAAAAGAGAGAAACGGGTTCATTTAAGAGCTGTAATTAAAGTTAAATCTGACTAATAATCGCTTTATAAAGGAGAGGAGTAGGTTGTTTTTCCGCTAAAGCGGATTACGGAGGATAAACGACAAAACCGTTTAACATGAATGTATCATCATATAAGCTCTAATAAGGCTCTGAACATTGACAGTTTCAGTGTGTTTCTTAATGGCTGATTCTGTGTGGTCCGGCTATATATGTTTTTATCTGTGTTTTTATCTCCTAATACTATTTCCGGTCGATAGACGTTTTTGAAATCTCCATGGCAACCGTACTTTTCCGCCAAAGTACAATAGTTTCTGACATTTAAAAAAAAATTGGTCACACTTTTTTTTTTTGGGGGTGTCATTACAGTGTAATTATATATTTAAATACTGAGTAATATTAAGCAAATAGCCTACATTTACAATAGAGTTAGGGTAGGGTTAGGGTTTGGTTGAGGGTTAGGCCTAGTTGCATGTATTTATGCATAATTTACTGTTATTACTATGGTAAGTACATGTAATAAGGACACTGTAAATAATGTGTTACCAATTTTTTTGTACCATGTAAATACCATGATCTATGAATAAGATAATCATTTAGTACCAGCATATTTAATACCAGCATATTTTATATGTATTTAGGTCTAAAATGATAGAAGAGAAGCTGAAAAGAGGAAGTGTTTGTTTGATTGTGTGTTCAGGCTCTGCTGGGCTCGTGATGGGGAAGCATTTCTTCAGTGAGACGGACATCAAGAGCGTGTGGGAGCAGGTGTCCACGGCCTTCTGGCAGAGATACCCTAACCCATACAGGTAGACACTGACCCATACAGGGTACACACTGACCCAAACCCATACAGGTAGACACTGACCCATACAGGGTACACACTGACCCAAACCCATACAGGGTACACACTGACCCAAACCCATACAGGTACACACTGACCCATACAGGTACACACTGACCCAAACCCATACAGGTACAAACTGACCCATACAGGTACACACTGACCCAAACCCATACAGGGTACACACTGACCCAAACCCATACAGGTACACACTGACCCATACAGGTACACACTGACCCAAACCCATACAGGTACACACTGACCCATACAGGTACACACTGACCCAAACCCATACAGGTACACACTGACCCATACAGGTACACACTGACCCAAACCCATACAGGTACACACTGACCCAAACCCATACAGGTACACACTGACCCATACAGGTACACACTGACCCATACAGGTACACACTGACCCATACAGGTACACACTGACCCATACAGGTACACACTGACCCACTGACCCATAGAGGTACACACTGACCCATACAGGTACACACTGACCGAAAAAGAAAACTTTGCTGGCAAACCAAAACCAAACCTTATAAAGTTCTGGGAACGTTAGAATAACGTTTTACAAACCAAATACGTTCTATTTCCGTTAATAAAACTTTACTAGCTAACCAAAAACGAACTTAAAAAAAAGGTCTGGGAACATTAGAATAACATTAGGGGGGCGTTAAAAAAAGTTTAACAAACCAAAAACTAACCAAATAAAACTTTCCCGACTAACCAAAAACAAACCTTAAAAAAAAACTTTTTTAGGAACGTTAGAATAACATTTTACAAACCAAAAACTAACTTTCTATTTCCGTTAAGAAAACTTCCCCAGCTAACTAAAAACAAACCTTAAAAAAGAAAAAGTAAAAGAAAAAAAGAGCATTCTGGGAACGCTAGAATAAGATTAGAGGAACGTTGAAATAACACTTTACAAACCAAAAACTAACGTTCCATTAACAAAACTTTACTAGCAGCTACCCAATTTTTTTTTTAAAAGAGAGTTCTGGAAACGTTAGAATAACGTTCTACAAACTGGGAACCACAATTTTTTAGCTGGGTACATACACTATCAGAAAACATTCGTTTTTGGTTTGTAAAACGTTATTTTAATGTTCCCAGAACGTTTTTGGTTTAGGTTTGTTTTTGGTTAGCTCGTTAAGTTTTCTTAGCGGAAATAGAATGTTAGTTTTTGGTTTGTAAAACGGACTGTATACGTTTTTTTCAGGTTATTTAAAAATAACTACCCTGAAACATTCTGGGAACATTCTTTCTTTCATGGTGGTAAAATAATATCCAAACGGGAACATAACGTTAGGGGAACGTTCTGTGTTAGCTGGGTATACAGGTGAAGCTCGAAAAATGAGAATATCGGGCAAAAGTTCATTTATTTCAGTAATTCAACTTAAAAGGTGAAACTAATATATTATAGAGTCATTACATGCAAAGTGAGATATTTCAAGCCTTTATTTGTTATAATTGTGATGATTATGGCTTACAGCTATGAAAACCTTCTCACAATATTCAAATTTTGAATTTGGGGTTTTCATAAGCTGTAAGCCATAATCATCACAATTATAACAAATAAAGGCTTGAAATATCTCACTTTGCATGTAATGAGTCTATAATATTAGTTTCACCTTTTAAGTTGAATTACCTAAATAAATGAACTTTTGCACGATATTCTCATTTTTCGAGTTTCATATACACTCACCTAAAGGATTATTAGGAACACCATACTAATACTGTGTTTGACCCCCTTTCGCCTTCAGAACTGCCTTAATTTTACATGGCATTGATTCAACAAGGTGCTGAAAGCATTCTTTAGAAATGTTGGCCCATATTGATAGGATAGCATCTTGCAGTTGATGGAGATTTGTGGGATGCACATCCAGGGCACGAAGCTCCCGTTCCACCACATCCCAAAGATGCTCTATTGGGTTGAGATCTGGTGACTGTGGGGGCCATTTTAGTACAGTGAACTCATTGTCATGTTCAAGAAACCAATTTGAAATGATTCGAGCTTTGTGACATGGTGCATTATCTTGGTGGAAGTAGCCATCAGAGGATGGGTACATGGTGGCCATAAAGGGTTGGACATGGTCAAAAACAGTGCTCAGGTAGGGCGTGGCATTTAAACGATGCCCAATTGGCACTAAGGGGCCTAAAGTGTGCCAATAAAACATCCCCCACATCATTACACCACCACCACCAGCCTGCACAGGGGTAACAAGGCATGATGGATCCATGTTCTCATTCTGTTTACGCCAAATTCTGACTCTACCATCTGAATGTCTCGATTTCTGTTGGATCGAGACAGAATGAGACCAGGCAACATTTTTCGTCAGACAAGCGTCAGACCAGGCAACATTTTTCCAGTCTTAAACTGTCCAATTTTGGTGAGCTCTTGCAAATTGTAGCCTCTTTTTCCTATTTGTAGTGGAGATGAGTGGTACCCGGTGGGGTCTTCTGCTGTTGTAGCCCATCCGCCTCAAGGTTGTGCGTGTTGTGGCTTCACAAATGCTTTGCTGCATACCTCGGTTGTAACGAGTGGTTATTTCAGTCAAAGTTGCTCTTCTATCAGCTTGAATCAGTCGGCCCATTCTCCTCTGACCTCTAGCATCAACAAGGCATTTTCGCCCACAGGACTGCCGCATACTGGATGTTTTTCCCTTTTCACACCATTCTTTGTAAACCCTAGAAATGGTTGTGCGTGAAAATCCCAGTAACTGAGCAGATTGTGAAATACTCAGACCGGCCCGTCTGGCACCAACAACCATGCCACGCTCAAAATTGCTTAAATCACCTTTCTTTCCCATTCTGGCATTCAGTTTGGAGTTCAGGAGATTGCCTTGACCAGGACCACACCCCTAAATGCATTGAAGCAACTCCCATGTGATTGGTTGATTAGATAATTGCATTAATGAGATATTGAACAGGTGTTCCTTATAATCCTTTAGGTGTGTGTATATTTTGCAATAAAAAATATAGAATATATCTACATGCATAATTAATTATTATTATTATATTAATAATTAATTTGATTGTCATTCGCAGTGCATCATGAGATTGTAGTTCTTTCCCTCATTAAAGCCGTTAAGTTCACAGTCTTTGACTTTTTGTCAGATTTTGTCACTTAAGTGTTTCAAAACCAAGTTGCCAAAGTTGCAAATTGATTATTTTTCCCCATGTTTTTACCGTGTTCCTCTCAGCACTCATGTTCTGACAGAAGACGTGGTTTTTCGCGAGGTGACGTCAGATAACCTGCTCCTGTCCCGACGGCTCTTCACGAAGACCAATCGCATGCCTCGCTGGGCGGAGCGCGTCTTCCCGGGAAACCTGTCGCGTTCGGTTTACATCATCGAGGACTCAGTCGTCGACCCCGCAAACAGAAGCCTCACCACGATGACCTGGAACATAAATCATGCCACGTTTATGGTAAACCACAACACGCACATACACTTCATTTAGAAATAATCAACACGCTTTCAAGTGCAAAAGTAAATGAAAGTATGAAGTAGATGCTTGGAAATGCTGCTCGTGTTTGTAAAGGTATTTCTACGAAAGAATGACAGAAATCCACTTGTCATATTTAATATTTAAAGTTATTCAGTGAGGAATTGACAGTTTGATTATGTATTTATTTATACAGCGCTTTTTACAATACAGATTGTTTCAATGCAGCTTTAACGAACTACTCCGAGACACGAAGGTTGAGAATCCAAATGCAGCTTTTAATGGGAAAATCCAAGATCATAAACCGTATAACAGTACAAACAATACAAACAAACCCAGAGGGTGAGACAGGAACGGGTCAGACGGGAACGGGTCAGACGGGAACGGGTCAGACGGGAACTGGTGAGACGGGAACGGGTGAGACGGGAACGGGTGAGATGGGAACGGGTGAGACGGGAACGGGTCAGACGGGAACGGGTCAGACGGGAACGGGTGAGACAGGAACGGGTGAGACGGGAACGGGTCAGACAGGAACGGATGAGACAGGAACAGGTCAGACGGGAACGGGTGAGACAGGAACGGGTCAGACGGGAACGGGTGAGACAGGAACGGGTCAGACGGGAACGGGTCAGATGGGAACGGGTGAGACGGGAACGGGTCAGACGGGAACGGGTCAGACGGGAACGGGTGAGACGGGAACAGGTCAGACGGGAACGGGTGAGACGGGAACAGGTGAGACGGGAACGGGTGAGACGAGAACTGGTGAGACGGGAACGGTCAGAAATGCAGTGTTACACGTACAAGACTTCGCAGGGCAAGAGTGTGAAAACCGTGAGCGTGAGTTAAACCAGGTTATGAGACACAGGCGGATGCAGTCAGGGATGATGAGTCCAGGCAGAGACTTATGGGAAATGTAGTTTCATTAGGGAATGACAATAGTCCGGGGTGGAGTGCCCTCTGGTGGCAGTGATGGGCACTCTCACTGATCGTGACAGCAGCTTTACAGAGATATCAGGAAAATAATGCAACAAAGTGTGTTTCCAGAAGAGAATAGCGTCACAGTCCAGTGATGTGATGTTTCATTTTGTTGTAAAAAAGTTATTAATTTAGTTCATTTATATACAGGTCCTTCTAAAAAAATTAGCATATTGTGATAAAGTTCATTATTTTCCATAATGTAATGATAAAAATTAAACTTTCATATATTTTAGATTCATTGCACACCAACTGAAATATTTCAGGTCTTTTATTGTTTTAATACTGATGATTTTGGCATACAGCTCATGAAAACCCAAAATTCCTATCTCAAAAAATTAGCATATCATGAAAAGGGTCTCTAAACGAGCTATTAACCTAATCATCTGAATCAACTAATTAACTCTAAACACCTGCAAAAGATTCCTGAGGCTTTTAAAAACTCCCAGCCTGTTTAATTACTCAAAACCGCAATCATGGGTAAGACTGCCGACCTGACTGCTGTCCAGAAGGCCATCATTGACACCCTCAATCAAGAGGGTAAGACACAGAAAGAAATTTCTGAACAAATAGGCTGTTCCCAGAGTGCTGTATCAAGGCACCTCAGTGGGAAGTCTGTGGGAAGGAAAAAGTGTGGCAAAAAACGCTGCACAACGAGAAGAGGTGACCGGACCCTGAGGAAGATTGTGGAGAAGGACCGATTCCAGACCTTGGGGGACCTGCGGAAGCAGTGGACTGAGTCTGGAGTAGAAACATCCAGAGCCACCGTGCACAGGCGTGTGCAGGACATGGGCTACAGGTGCCGCATTCCCCAGGTCAAGCCACTTCTGAACCAGAAACAGCGGCAGAAGCGCCTGACCTGGGCTACAGAGAAGCAGCACTGGACTGTTGCTCAGTTTTGCATGTCATTCGGAAATCAAGGTGCCAGAGTTTGGAGGAAGACTGGGGAGAAGGAAATGCCAAAATGCCTGAAGTCCAGTGTCAAGTACCCACAGTCAGTGATGGTCTGGGGTGCCATGTCAGCTGCTGGTGTTGGTGCACTGTGTTTTATCAAGGGCAGGGTCAATGCAGCTAGCTATCAGGAGATTTTGGAGCACTTCATGCTTCCATCTGCTGAAAAGCTTTATGGAGATGAAGATTTCATTTTTCAGCACGACCTGGCACCTGCTCACAGTGCCAAAACCACTGGTAAATGGTTTACTGACCATGGTATTACTGTGCTCAATTGGCCTGCCAACTCTCCTGACCTGAACCCCATAGAGAATCTGTGGGATATTGTGAAGAGAAAGTTGAGAGACGCAAGACCCAACACTCTGGATGAGCTTAAGGCCGCTATCGAAGCATCCTGGGCCTCCATAACACCTCAGCAGTGCCACAGGCTGATTGCCTCCATGCCACGCCGCATTGAAGCAGTCATTTCTGCAAAAGGATTCCCGACCAAGTATTGACTATTGAGTGCATAACTGAACATAATTATTTGAAGGTTGACTTTTTTTTTGTATTAAAAACACTTCTTTTATTGGTCGGATGAAATATGCTAATTTGAGACAGGAATTTTGGGTTTTCATGAGCTGTATGCCAAAATCATCAGTATTAAAACAATAAAAGACCTGAAATATTTCAGTTGGTGTGCAATGAATCTAAAATATATGAAAGTTTAATTTTTATCATTACATTATGGAAAATAATGAACTTTATCACAATATGCTAATTTTTTGAGAAGGACCTGTATATATAGGCGCTCTGGAGAAAACCGTAATGTCATCGTCCAGCTCAGTTCAGTTCTTGTATAATGGTGTCAATGCAGGCAGAGCAATATTATTGTTGAATATTAAATTAAATGTTAAATTTAATGTCCCCAAGTAAGCAAGCCAAAAGCCAATGGCAACAAAGGCGACAGGAACCAAAACTCGATCAGTGACTGAATGGAGAAAGAAAGCTTGTGAGAACCCAGACTCAGTCGCTCAGTTCTCCTCTCGAACCAACAGTGTGTGATTATGATTCAGGCATTCAGCATTACAGGTCAGAAGGCAGATTGGACTGGAACATCAGAATATTACCCAGTTCCATCTGGATGTGATCATATTCATATGTAATATGCTAATACTAGGTGAACTAATGTTAGAAAAGGGCCCTCACAATAATTACAAAAGACAAGCAAACAATCAGCAGTACAATAAGAACTAAATGACAAACAAAACTTGCAGTGTGTGTGTGTGTGTGTGTGTGTGTGTCACCAGCGTGTCGTGGAGCGCTGTGTGTTTCTCGGCGAGCGGGACCGGCCTGTCTGGACTCGGATCACCAGGGAAGCCTGGATCTCATCAGGAGTCTTCGGCCTCTCCAGACCCATACAGGTCACACACACACACACACACACACACACACACACACACACACACACACACACACACACACACACTTCCTGTCACCTTCCTGCATTCGCCAACAACTAATGCCCAAACACTAAAAATCAAGCGAGAGAAAAGGTTAACACTTTACAATAAGGTTCATTAGTTAATGTATTAATAACATGAAGTAACTGTGAGCAATATATTTGTTACTGTTTTTGTTAATCTTTGTTAACGTTAGTTAATAAAAATAAAGCTGTTCATTGTTTGTTCATGTTAGTTCACAGTGCATTAACTAATGTTAACAAGATTTTAATAAAGTATTATTAAATGTTGAAATTAACATTTAACAAAGAATAATAAATGCAGTTCATTATTAGTTAATGTTAACTAATGAACCTTATTGTAAAGTGTTACAGAGAAAAGATATTTAGAGATTGGAAGTTGACCTAAACGGTAGAGATGCACGATATATCGTCACCATATCAGTATCAGCCGATATATGTTCATTTTTAATGTTATCGTTATCGGCCTGATAAGAAAATTTGTCCGATATATTAAAGCTGATAAAATAATTCATTATTTCCTTCAGCGGAGACACTTCAGATACACACTGTTCAACATGATGGTTTTAAATTGCTTGAAATATTACTGGAATCACTTCAAAACACAGTAAAGTTCGACATGTTCAGCAGTGCAAATCTGTTGTATAAGCGACATAAATCATTATAATTTTAATGGTGAGACTTTAGTTTTTGTAATCAGGATAAAATTATAAAAAGATTTAAATCAGGGTTCGTACAAGGTGCTTAAAAAGCTTGAAGTACTTCAATTATTGAAAGACAATGTGTGAAATTAGTGTTTAATTTAATCGATAAAACAATCTTCTCACACGAACTAAACGCTGCCGCCCGTCTTCGCATGGCTATGAGTGTGATATTGTTCATATAATTATTCAAGTATATGATATATATGACGCTTTAATTCTTCAGGTCAATCATATGTTCATGGGCGGAAGAATCAGTTTGAATAAGGAAAGCGATATCTTTATCATAGTATCATTTCAATGGTTAAGTTTCCACAGCCATCGCTTGTGCTGCACTTTATTCGTACCATTTTTTTTTTTTGATATGAAGATATTGTTTGATAAGTGAGATCTCTGATTGATGTAGTCCTTGAAAACCAAAAAAGTAGTGCTTAAAGTCCTTTAATTTCATTTTACAGTGTGTGTAAGAACCCTGATTTACATTTATCAGCCAATATATCGGCTCTCAAATATAAAGAATTATCAGTTATCGCCATCGGCCAAAAGTTTCGTATCGATGCATTGCTACTAAACGTCCATAAGTTCCTGTGTTGGAGTGAAATGTGGCTCTTGTCAGCATTAAACTTTAGCGGTGTGTCTCTTCTTCCTGTAGGAGTTTGGTTTGGCCCGGTTCAGGAGTAACCAGGCGAAAGCTATGAAGGGTTTGGAGCACGCGCTATCAAATCTACAGAGTAAGAAATATATTTATATAAACTTCATATGTACTCTCAAGGCCTGTTCACATCAAGAACAAACACAAAACACGGAAAAGAAAACGCACAAAAGCAAATCCAACGGTCCATTTGGTTTAAATTCACATTGTTTTAAAGCAGCTATACATAATGGTTATAATATTTTAAAATCTTCATGCCTTCTAGTTGAATTTAGCAGATTAGAGCTGGACAATTATATAGTTACATTTCGTGATGATAAATTCAGTATAGAGTATATATCACTTTATATGGGTTTTTTGCACTCTTGACATTTTAACTATTTAAGTCCTCCTGTAGTCAATAATTTTATCCCTTAAAACTCATCTTTGATCACCAAAATGACATCTTTAAAAGTTTTTTTTTCTTCATGCCTTTAAATATCTCTAATGTAACTCGACACCCTTGCCTCATTTATTATGCACGGTTCTATGAATATGCAAATGAGCCCCGCCTCCACTCACTCCCTCAGCTCAGAGATCCACTGGTTGACGATCACACGTTGATCTGATTGGTTACAAGGTCGTTTGTGACGTCAGAAACACCAGCGATTTCAAACCGTGTTTTTGAGACTGTCTTTGGTTCACTGCAGTTTTAATCAGAAAATACTCAGCAATGCTGTCGACTTATGAACTTACACATGGTTTGTCTTAAAGCGTATTAAAAACACCACATAGACACATAAACAACATTAAAAACTGGATTTACACCACAGGGGGACTTTAAAATAACGCTTGAGTAATAAGTTATAAAGACATGTTCCGTTATATTTGTGTAACCGAAAGAACAGCAGATCAAGTAACATCAGTGTTAGTTCCTCTTTCCATCGCTGTTTATCAGTGTTCAATGTGACAGAAACTTTATGCGGTCGAAAATTCAGAAGTATTTTTAACTTGACAGAAAGAGCAGAAAGTGTGTTACCAGGTAATTCTGCATTGTTCTAATGTTTCCTTCTGATTTTTCCTTTTTCTTGTGTGTTCATCGATTCAGAAGCTTCGACCGCATGTCACGGAGATCCTGCAGAGAAACACAAAACCCTGAACTCTGCCTCCAAAACCCAGAAACCCCAGCAATACATATGATCCATATATGATCCATATAAACACTGCCGAGTCACACACAGGGTGGGAGATTAACCACAGTGGCCGGTGGATGCCCAAATTTACCAGCCACTTTTTCCGGAATTCAAATTTATAAAAGAAAGGAAAGTGCACTAGCATATTTTGGATTGGTTCAATACATTCTTTTTTTTTATCATTAATACATATTTTATTAATATAGGCAAAAAAAAAGTGATATGAAAAAAAGCCTGCGAGACCAAGGTAGAATTGTGTTCGGTCATATTCTACAATAATTGTAGTTCCTGTAACGAACGAATTGTTTGCATTTTGTCGTCATCGATGCGCCACTTGTTGGAAAAGTACTTTCTCTTCTTCTTTACTTCGCCCTCAACAGTTTGTACGTTCATAGCTCCTGCTGACTTAAAGGCTTAGTTCACCCAAAAATGAAAATGATGTCATTAATGACTCTCCCTCATGTCGCTCCAAGCCCGTAAGACCTCCGTTCATCTTCAGAACACAGTTTAAGATATTTTAGATTTAGTCCGAGAGCTTTCTGTCCCTCCATTGTAAATGTATGTACTGTCCAGAAAGGAAATAAAGACATCATCAAAGTAGTCCATGTGACATCAGTGGGTTAGTTAGAGTGTGTTGAAGCATCGAAAATACATTTTGGTCCAAAAATAACAAAAACTAGGACTTTATTCAGCATTGTATTGTCTTCCGGTTCTGTTGTGGATCCGCGTTCACGAGTCTGCAGTGAATACACGGACGCACCAGACACACGTCAGCAGCGTCTTACGTCAGCGGCGTCACTGCGGACTCGTGAACGCGGATCCACAACAGAACCAGAACACAATACAATGCTGAATAAAGTCCTAGTTTTTGTTATTTTTGGACCAAAATGTATTTTCGATGCTTCAAAACATCCTAACTAACCCACTGATGTCACATGGACTACTTTGATGATGTCTTTATCTCCTTTCTGGACAAGGACAGTATACCGTACACACATTTACAATGGAGGGACAGAAAGCTCTCGGACTAAATCTAAAATATCTTAAACTGTGTTCCGAAGATGAACGGAGGTCTGACGGGCTTGGAGCGACACGAGGGAGAGTCATTAATGACATCATTTTCATTTTTGTTTTTTTTTAACCGATAATGTTCCTTTCGTCTGTACCTCAGCTCAGCTTTATGTGTCACGGTCCGTTCAGCGCCGTGACACACTGAAAACCAATCAAACGAGTTACTCGACAAAAGTGCATTATTGTTACTTAGCAACAGCATTCTTTGACAAAAGCTGTCCAATCCGTTACAAGGAATGTTTTACGTAGTAATCAATAAAAGTATGTTTTACAATCCACCCGCCACTGTGGCTCGTATACAAGGCTAAGTCACCCAAAGTGTCCCACCCTGGTCACATGTCCCGCTCTCCCCCAAATCACGAACAAATCAAGCCTGTCTTCACAAGCATCTCATGACGATTCTCAGGACTGTATGTAAGCCCATTTCCAACACATGCGACACAAATATTGGTAAATCTTAATTATGACATAAAAATTTCAATTCACATTTATTTGTATAGCGCTTTTCACAATACACGTCGTTTCAAAGCAGCTTTACAGAAAGTTGTAAGTCATAATTATGAGATTAAAAATTGACTTATGTCAATTTCGACTTTTTGTCATAATTATGACTTTTGTTATAATGTTGACTGTTTATAACAATTTTGACTTAGCATGCCAGTTTCAACTTTTTATGACATTGACTTAACGTCATAATTTTGATTTATGTCATTGTTTTTTTAGTCATAATTTTGACTATCTCCTAATTATGACTTAGTATTACACGTTTTAACATTTGATGACATAATTGACTTTTTGTCATAATTATGACTTTAATGTCATGTTTACTGTTTGTCAATTTCAACTTTTTGTCATAATGTTGACTGTTTATGTCAATTTTGACTTTTTATGACATGTCATAATGTTGACTGTTATTGTCAATTTCAACTTTTTATGACTTAGATGTCATAATGTTGACTTTTTATGTCAAATTTAAACTTTTTATGACATAATTGTGACTTAGATGTCATAATGTTGACTATGTCGAATTTAAACTTTTTATGACATAATTGTGACTTAGATGTCATAATGTTGACTGTTTATGTCAAATTTAAACTTTTTATGACATAATTATGACTTTGATGTCATGTTTACTGTTTGTCAATTTCAACTTTTTGTCAAAATGTTGATTATTTGTCAATTTCAACTTTTTATGACATAAATGTGACTTTTGTCGATTTCGACTGTCAATTTCAACTTTTTATGTCATAATTATGAATTTTATGTCATCATTTCAACTGTCAATTTAGACTTTTTGTCATATTATGACTTAACATAATTTTGATTTGTCATAATTATAACTCTTAATCTCCTACATATGTTTTATTATGTCAATTTCAATGTTTTATGTCATAATTAATGATTTACAAAATCATAATTTTTTATTATGTTTGAAATGGGCTTCCATATGACTGCAAAACAAAGAATATATTATTTTAACTGTTAAGTATTTATACGTTGTCATATTTGTACTGTCTTTAATTTATGCTAATTTAAAAAAAATTATATATAAAAGAAAGATAAAGAACTAGTGCATTACGGCAATGAGAAACTTTGGAGCAATGTTCTTAAAGGCACAATGCACAATTTGTAATGGTCTTTAGATTTTCAATAAAAAATAAAAAATATGGTAAAATATGTTTAAATGATATTCACCCCTAAAACAAGCGACTTGCGCAGAAGAGTCGTGTGACGTGATCGGATCTGATGCTGCTAAAAGTAAAGTTCAGGTGAGAGAAAACTGGAACTGATGATCAATATATCATGCACCATATTTCTTTAGAAATTTCATTTATTAGAAATGAAAACTCAGGAAAAGATATTTTGCAATTGTGTACAATTGACACTGTCACCCTGAAGTGTGTGTTTCTGACTAAATGCACAGTAGAACGTGCTGGTTATAGTTTATATACCGTATAATGTGATATTTATCATTATATCAAATCAGATATCATCAGTTTAAGATTAAAACGATAAACTTAAAGCTGTGCCTCTTTCTCTGCTAATGTTTTAATTAGTTTCTAGTAATAATATGTAAAACACACCATGCATTACAATTTAGAAAGCCACGAACAACATATTGAGAATTTGTTTAACTTATAGAACAATGTTTTTGTTGTAATATTTGTTTTGCTCTGTTTAGAATCCTTTCATCTGTTTGTGCATATGCATTCCTTAACAGATTTAGTGTGAAATTTAAGGAAATGTTTTAGAATGAAGAATATTGTTGTAAAAATGAATATTTCACTGTTGTATCGATTTAGCTTTTGTTTTGAAAAGATAAGATATGGACTCTTTAAATAAAGAAATAAATGATGAAACTCTTGAGAATAATTACATTTACATTTAGTTTTAAAGAATAATTGCAATTACATTACAAGCTGTGACAGTTTTTAAGATATTTTGATGAGTATTTTTTTATCAGTATTTTGAATTAATTTCTATTTTTATATTTTTGGTTTTCATTTTAGTTTTTGTCATTTGTATTAGTTTTAGTTTAGTCTTAGGTTTAAATAATAATTTTTAGTTTGATTATTTATTAGTCAGTTTTAGTTTTGGTTATTTTAGTTCATCAACTTAAACTAAATGAAAATAAGAAATGTTGCAAACTTGCTGAAATAAAATAAGTTTAAGGATGTTAAAAAAATATATATTTTAATGTATTTCAGTTCAAACTTATTTTATTTCAAGTGATAAAAAATAATAATCCTGCACAAAAGATATTTTTTTTCTGGTCTTGTGTTTATTTTTTTCAGAATTCTGCAAGTTTCTTCAAGAAGCTGAAATCAGAACTTGCTGTGTTTGTCTTTTCTCTTTAAGACAATTACAATAGTTAGACATTTCAATAAACATTTAAGCAATAACGTTGATTTGAAGCAAACTATTTTTCACAAACATAATATGTAGCCTCATGAATTCAATTTTTTTAAATTCAAATTTATTTATAAAGCACTGAATAAAACAACACAGTTGACCATAGTGCTGTACAAGCAGTAAAACAATGAACAGAGAGAAAACAAATAGTAGGTTGTATACACTTCATAAAAACATTCAACAGCATATATTTATAAGAAAAAAAAAAAAAGAAAAAAAATTACACTAGCACCCTTCACACTTATCTTGATCGAACGCTATCATAAAGAAATATGTTTTCAGATGGCTTTTAAACTGACTGAGTGTAGGAAGGTCCCTAATATACAAAGGTAAACTGTTCCATAATTTAGGGGCTGCGACCGCAAATGCGCGATTCCCTCTAGTCTTCCACATTCACTCAAATTAAGAAAATGTATTGTATTTTTGTATTTAAGAGATACATTAAATTCAATCGAATGAATCGGAATTGCGCAATCATCTTACAAAATGCAAAAACATATCTTAGAAAATAGAAATTTAACAGTTTATTCTAACAGTCGATTTTTACAAAATGTAAATTATGACACTTAAGTAGGATAAACACTGCATGAAGCAAATTCTGTATATGTAAAAGCCTTTGAAATGATTATAAAACAATAACCCGACTGAAATGTTTGTGGCAAGCGTGTCAGGTTTTATCTGGCTGCACACTTGCGTAAACGGTGTCCTCCTCAGTGTCGATCTGCAGGGATCTCGGTGTGTGAGATCGGCAGGAGATTACAGATGAGTATGTGACATCATCCTGCAGAGATAATAAACACACACACACACACACATTTATACTTCTGACATATGGACACACAATGTCAAATTAAGCTTAAGTTATTTTAGTTTTGTAAATACACTTCACTGAAAAAAAAAAGTTCTTCCTCTGTATTTTTCTCTTGTTTTCCAGTACAAATATCTAAACATTCTCAAATAAAGATACGTTTACTGGAGAAGCGAAATTACTTATGATATTACTACTGTAAGTGTTGTTTACTGAAAAAAATCATCAAAATTGAATGTGACTTTA